AGGAGGAGGGGGAAGAGGTAGAGGCCCCAAAGGAGGAAGAGGAGGAGGAGTCCCGCGTGCCGGGGGGACGCGCATCTCCTGACGCCCTGTGTTCTCTGTGTCGTTCGTGTGGGTCTGCCCCTGCGCAGATACAGGGTGAGAAATTCCCCAGTCATGCTGTGACAGACGGTCTGAGTTCATCAGGGCTCCCACGGCGATGCATGATGCCGCGCCTTCGAGGGCATCCAGGAAGGTCTGCTCATACCCAAGAGGGTCTTCCATGTCGCCCATGTCGACCAGCAGCTGAAGTCAGGGAGCGCGGGCTCCTCGAAGACGAATCCACCCAACCCAGCTGCATCAGAAAGGTGGTCTGGGAAAGCGACGTCCTCTGCTAAGCTGAACGTGGTGTCACCACCGTGCGGTGCATGTTCAGGCGGGTAAATGGTCAAACGACTCAGCTTCAGAAATCCGGCAAAACGGCGACGTTTCACCTATGAGGCCATCCCCAAGGCCTTGCGAAGTTCCCATAGAAGCTGCGACGATGTCGAAACCCAATCGAGACTGGGATTTTGCGCTCTATCGCCAAGAAGGCCGGCTGACCGTGCCCTCATGCTGCGATCCAACGGCGACGACGTGCCTGGGAGGCGTTCTGACATCTTCTTGTTGAGGCGACGCTGCCCCAGAAGGAGCAAGACCTGGACCGGGAGCCAAACCACCATCAACAACATGAAATTGACCCAGAAGTCTGCCAGCTGCGATACGGAACCTCTGCCAGCTGCGACACGGAACCCATGAGAGTTGAGGAAGACCTCGAAGCCACCGTCGTCAGAGGAGTCGTCCATCGGGCGTTGAGGAGAAGGCTGCGTTGCGAGCTGCTGTGGCCCTTTTTTCATAAGCAGACTGGCGGGCTCGTCTGAGCCCGTAGCGTCAGAGAAGGCACGACCGCCTCACGCCTCATCGCTCACACGAGCGGAAGCGCCTTGACCAGGCCGTGCCTGGGAAAGTACAGCAGGCCCTCGACCGAACGGCCAAACTGGACGAGGTCGAAAGCCAGGCAGTGCAAGACAGCGGCCTGGACCTTGGAGGGGCAGATGGCCAACAAGGGCTAAGAGGCCTGCTGTGGGCCTCTCTTCAATCATCGAGTGAACGAGCAGCCCCGCCTGAGCAACGCCACGTGCAAGGTCATTGGAACCCGCCGCAGGCCGGGCGGCAGCAGGAGAGCTGCTCAGCAGGTGCAGTGGGCAAGGTCCTCACAGGTCATGGCGTCATCGCCGCCTGGTCCTCGAGCTCGCCCATTGCTCGGGTGGGTTGGCCGCGCCGCGTGCCAGTATTACTCCTCGCCAGTACCCGAGATAGAGTAGTCCCAGGACGAGTCGGCTGAGCCACCAAGCGGGTCGACAACCAATTCATCGCCCGCACTGCCTCGTGTACGCAGTTGGAAGCACAGCGGCGGATTGGCACGGGGGAGCCGCTTCGACGACCGCTTCAAGTATGCCGCACGCTCGTGAAGCCCCATGCGCGTAAGGTCAGGTTGCCACGCCAATAGGTATAGTTGTGCCTGTGCTCTCATGCGGGCGGCGAAAAGCCTGTCCTGCTCACGACCAGGCCAAGGGCGAGTGAGAACCCGCTGGAGACGATGCTGTGAAAGGTGTGAAAAGCTCCATGTCTGCTGGCAGAGATCTCTTCCGTTATCTACCTTCGCTGAGTGCGTCCAGCAAGCCCTCGCTCAGAGAACATGGGTGTGAAGACGTCATAGCTGAGGATCCCCGCAAATGTAACCAAAGCGCCACTCCGTCCAAATTGATCGGACCTTCGTAAGGCGAACGGAATATATCGATCAACACGCAAATCGGGATCACCACGAACACGTTGTGTCAATTGACGTGGGGTCTCATCACCTCGAAGCGGCACTTCCGAGGACAGATCGCCCAAGGCATGGGGCCGGCCACGATGGGCAGGTCGGATGGTGGGACGCCTGAATTCGTGACGGAGCCATCCGCATTTAGCGAACAAAGCAAGGGATGCAGTCTCCCCGTTGCCGATGGTCTGCCTTGATCGACGAGCGCGTTCCACTACTCGCAAAGTAACTACTCGCAAATGGTCTGGACCCGCCGCGGGGGATCTACGATACATCTCATCGAAGCGAACATATGTTTTTCGGAAGTTTGCGAGTTAGCACTTTGCGAATAGTGGAACGCGCTTGGTGACTTGGGGGCCGTCGCCTCTGGAAGTGGAGGATGATGTTGCGAGGCCGTAGACGCTGTAGTCGAGGATGGGCCAACCGCATCCGCGGGGCGCCGAGAGGGGCCAGCAATACCAACCCCAGGGCCCCCGAGCGAGCGCTGGGCACCGCCGCAAGGAATAATAGTCTTCCGCGAGAGACGAGCACCAAGCTTGACATTCTGGAAGCCTGCTTTGAAGATGGGGAGAACAATAACCGTATTGGGAGGAAAGGGCTGGGAGGATGGAAGGTATGAGCAATAGCATCTGGATGCAATGAACGAGACCTTCGGCCGCCTACGGGTAAGGATATCCTCATTTCTCCCAGCCCCATCCTCCCGACCTGATATTTGTCTTCCTGAGACGACCGTCTTCATGGCGTTGTCTGTCCGGATGATGGAATAGGGCGAGTGGCTTGCCGCAACATGTGCGTGATACCAAAAGGCCAGATCGAACACCGTCCTGTCAATCTCTATAGCAGAGCCCACGAAACCCCATGTGCCCAGTGCTGTGGTAGGCCCAATGTAACCGCTCGTGGCCTCCACATGTCTCCGCCCGGCCGGGCACTCCTGACGATGCTGCAGCCTGTCGAGCTGCCCAACGCAGCCAAGCCGGCAACGAAGCCGCAAGGAGGTGGAGGATGAGGAGGAGGACGAAGAGGTGGAAGAGGGGAGGGCGGAGAGGAGGGTCCCCCCCTCCTCCTCCTCCTCCTCCTCCTCCTCCTCCTCCTCCTCCTCCTCCTCCTCCTCCTCCTCCTCTGCCTCCCTTCCCCTCTGGCAGAAGTCTTCGGAGGTCGCCGGAAGTCTCCAGAGGCTTGCGGCCGACCCCAAGAAGGGTCCAAACTTTCGATCCTCCGTCTCCCCTTCTCCTCTTCCCTGACCCCTCCTCCTCCTGCTCTCTGTTGTCTCCAATACCATCCTCCCTCCCTCCTGATTCTTCACTCGTAACTTATCTTCGTCGCGCCAGCAAGCGTGTCGGTAGGGTGGGCCATACCCCCCGCGTTCGATCCTGATGCTTGAACTGTGCACAATTGCGCGGCTGGATCGTGGAAACAGCAAGACCTTTTATTATCCGTTTCCGTTTCGCATTTTTTCCAGCGGTTCCCGCTCCGCTTCATTCCCGGAACCGTTGAGATTCCGCTTCTGCGGACCGTTTTTGTTACGCTTTGAATATTAAGATCACATTTCTGAAAACGGTTTGAAAACGTCTCTGCCGTCTCCAAGAACCAGAACGGCTGGAGGACGTTGGCTTTCAAAACGTGGCTCTCGCTCTGGTGCAGCGTCCATTCACAACAACATACCCAACCGCTACGCGGCTGCGGGGTACTGGGTGGCTTTCAAACGGTAGCCTTCGCCTCAACGCCGTGCACTTTCGTCCAAAACGCTTCACCAGTCTAGGTCGGGCCTGTCCCCCTACAGGGGGATTTTCGACGAAAAATAAAAAACGATTCAAAAAATGCAAAAGATGCCAACAAATACTCAACACATATTCCCCCGACTATTTTCTGACTATTTTTGAATATTCCTCCTGTAGAGGGGCATGCCCGACTTAACACCAGCGTCACGGATAGATGCCTGCCACTCCTCGAAGTTAATCTCGCCTCCACGCCGCCCACATTCGGCTGAAAAGCTTGCAGCACTTCCACGGGTGCAGGGCGGCTCCTGGTCAGCACGGGGCTCCCGCTTGAGGCGTCCTCGCATCCAATAGTCTGACCATCGAAAGCTGGTTCGTTGGCACGGATGGGAGGGCCGCCGTGCCCAGACAAGGCTCTCGCATTGGGGGCGTCCTCGCACTGTACTGCCAGGCGAGCAGACGTGCAAGGCGGCCTCACTGGCGGAGGGCGGCTACTTTTCACAACGACGCTCTCGCTGGACACTTGCCTGAACTATGTGCTCCTGCCACTGAGCGGCAGGAGCACGAAGTCTTGACTAAAGTCAGATTGATGACGAGCGGCTCCTTGTCCACACGGGCCTCCCGCTAGAACATAGCAGGCCCACGGGGCGCGCGTCCTTCAATGGGGGCGTCCCCCGCCGGGTGCTCACGAGGAGGTGACCCTTTTTTAACCCCGACCCACGAGGATATGTTTCACGAGTGAGGTTGAACCACGCACTCCTCGTGGGGAGGCAACCGGGGACGGGAGGGTGCCCTGCAACATCGCTGCTGCATCCTGGGCTTACTCCAGTCCTCTTCTTCCTCCTCCTCCCCGTTCAAAGAAACCGATCCCCAGACATATCCTGGGGGTGTCCTGGCCAGACTTCCGAGGCGGGTCCAACCGTGGCCACGAGGGAGGCCCAGGGAGGCCCAACAGCGTCGCCAGACCTCCGTCCCCGACCCCCTCGATCCCCTCTATTCTCATCCTCCTCGTCGTCACCCAGACTTTTTTGGCTGTCCTGTGCGCCCCCTCCTCCTCCTCCTCCTCCTCCTCCTCCTCCTCCTCCTCCTCCTCCTCCTCCTCCTCCCCCCTCCGCCTCCGCCTCCGCCTCCGCCTCCTCCTTCTCCTCCTCCTCCTCCTCCCCCTCCTCCCCTCCTCCTCCTCCTCCTCCTCTCCTTCCTCCTCCTCCTCCTCCTCCTCCTCCTCCTCCTCCTCCTCCTCCTCTCTCCTCCTCTGATCCTCCTTTCCCTCCTCTCCCTCCTCCCCCCTCCTCTCCTTGGCTGTCTTGTGTCCCACCGTCTTCCTCCTCCTCCTCCTCTTGCTCATCCTCCTATCCTCCTTCTCCTTCTCGTCCTCCTCCTTCCCTCCGCTTCTTGGCTGTCTTATGCTCCCCCCCACGCCCTGTCCGCCCTGAGCGACGGTGGCCAGCCGACCACGGCGATAGCCTGCGCCGTGGGCAGTGAGAGATTCCGGTCGTCGCAGTCCCTGATGAGGGTCGGCACGTCCACGTCGTCGTCGTCGTCCTTGTGTGGCGGCGCCGCCGCGCGCAAAGGGGGGAAGGATGATGATGATGATGATGATGAAGATGATGATGCTGATGCTGATGATGATGATGCTGATGATGATGATGATGATGATGATGATGATGATGATGATGATGATGATGATGATGATGATGATGATGATGATGATGATGATATGGAGGAGGAGGAGGAGGAGGAGGAGGAGGAGGAGGAGGAGATCGAGGAGGAGGGGGAGAGCAAGGAGGAGGTGGGAGGTGCATGAAGAAGGAGGCGGATGATGAGGACGAAACGTTTGATGATGAGGCGCAACGGGGTGAGGACATGTGGAGGCGGGCGGAGGAGGGCCACATGGGAGGCTGGCCTGCTGGAGTCCAATAGGGGGATCTCGCCAAACAGGGGTCACCCTGCCTGAGGACGACTGCTGTTTGGAAAAAGTGGGATGATCGAGAGTGGGGCCAGAACGAGCAGTGGCGGCCGATGACAGGCCAGGACGGACAATAATGGTTCCACGAATCATTTTCGGAAACAACAATCAATCAAGTACATCCTGCGAAATGCTTTAGAAATCATGGGTTAAGAAATTCATAGTCTCAGAATTGGAATAAAAACCCAGAACGTCTATCAAAATCTTAGGATCTGCATTGAAACATTAAGAATAATCGAGACTCTGGCCGAAAACTTAGGTTCTCTTAAGCATCGCCTAAGGTGTAGGATGGGGAGAGAACTCGAGCTGGTCTCGGGTGCGCCCCGCCTTCTCCGGGCCGTCGTCGAGCGTGATGGGGTCCACGACGCTGAGTATCTTCTCCAGAGGGGCGTACTTCCACTTCACCTGGTGCCAGAGGCGGGTGGCTATCTCCACCGCTTGGGACGTGAGCGTTTCTGCGTCGGCAGGCATGTTGGACACCACTGAGGCGTACGTGTCCATCACGATGGCAAGCAGCATGTTCAGCATGATCAGGTTGATGATCCAACAGAAAGACCAAAGCCAAAGCGCAGCCTCGAGCTGGCCAGCTCTCGCCATCGGGAACTCGTCGTCGGGCAACTGCTCCTGTCCCACGAGGTTTCCGAGCAAACAATGGAAAGTGCTCGTGATTGCACGGGGAAGGGTCGCAAACTCAACTAACTCTTCACCAAACAGCACCATGCCCATTATGGAATACATGCCGAACACAACGCTGAACACAAAGAAAAAGTGGGCGATGTCCACTGCCGCTGCCGACAAGGTCCTCGTCATCACACCAAGTCTTGGTTGAGCGCTGAAGGGCTTCATGAAACCAGAGATAATTACAAGTGGATAGAATGCTAAGATCCGTCGAAGAGACGTCTGGCCAAGGCAGACGCTCTCAACCTGGTCAAAATAAGCACCCATCGCGGCCTCACTGCCGAAGCTGCCTGGGGTATCTGGGTTTGCCAGGAGGAGCATTGTGTGCAATCCATTGATTGCGCTTATCTGTAACCCCCATAAGATGACAATAACGAGGGCGTAACAGACCTTAGATACGGACACATCAGGCTGGCAGCATGGAAGTCCCAGGCCAGATCGGCTGGATCGCCATCGAATTTGTTCTGTCGTTCTCCTCCCTCCCTGCCTCCCTGTTCCCCCCCCTCGCCTCCGACGTGTGAAGCTGTGACAAAACAAATGCCCAGAACTCTCGACCCCACGTTGGCCATCATTTTGTCGAGCCGATTCGATCCCTGAGGGCTCCAGGGCCCGAAACAAAAAAACAAGTGCCCGTCGTGTCTCTTTCTCGAGACGCTGGGTTGTAAGAACCCCTCCCCCTGCACTGCACCACTCGTTTGGGACATTTACGCTTTCCTGGGCACCTCCTGTGAAGACGCAGACACCACCGAAAACTAACTCTCAGAATGGAAGCGGGCAATCTAGACACCGTGCGCTCGCCTGGGCGCTCCCTGCGCCATGCGGGTACTATGGCGGCTGGAAAAGAGCTGAGAGCCCGAATGCGCATCTGGACAAACTTCCATGGCACAGTCGAGGACTACAGGAGGACGATAAAGATGAGGGACAAGCGAGACCTAAACCCGACCATTTGAATCTCAGACTGCCGGAACTGGCGACATGCACAAGGACATGGCGGATGCGCTCGGAGGACGCTTCCTGGCAGCAGCGCTGGCAACGCGATGCGCGCCGAGACTATCGGATGCGATTGGAGTGAACTTCTTTGCCGCAGCACTGGCGGGCGATGTGCCGTGTCTGCGAGTGGATGAGCTCGGAGTGGGCCTGCGCCAACAGCGCTGGAACCGCGATGCGTGCCAGAGCACGAGGGCGTGCTCAGAGCTGACGCCTGTGCTGGCAGCACGCTGTGCGTCTGTCGCGCGCGGCGGCGCTCGGGGGGAGATCCCTGGCAGCGGCGCTGGTGCGGCTGCGTTCTGTCGTGACGAGGGCGTTGGTTTCCGGCGCCGTATAGATCTCCTGGCCATCGCTCGGACGCCCACTCCCCGTGCATCTCTCGAGATTGTGCGTGTTGTTTTACTCGATGATCCAGGATCTGCTCCTCCATGCTCCTCGCAGCGGAAAATACATGCACACGTCCGAGCGAGGCCAAGTCTCTCAGCCTTGAGCGAGCTCCCCAGACCCCCGACGCCATCATGTTTCCACAACGTCGGCCCCCAGAGGTCTCGACCCCTTCCCCGGGACCGGCTTTTCCTCCTGAAGCGTTCTCTTGCCGTCGCTCGGACGTCCATTCCCCGTGCATTTTTGCGGTTTCGTGCGTCTTTTTTCTTTGCTCGATGGTCCAGGATGCTCCTCGATGGTTCTCGCCGAGAAAGCATGTACACGTCCGAGCGATGCCAGGTTCTTTGATGGTCCCGAGGGCCGGTGAGGGCCCCTGGGGCCGAGCAAGAACATCGAAACGCCTCCCGTCGCGTCTTTGCATACCTCCAGGGGGTCCGGGTCTTCTCCGACAGCGAAGCGCGCTCCATGTTGGCCCCGTCCAGGCTTAGGCCGGGCATGTCTTCCTGCAGCGGGAGCTTGGGCAAACAAATAAAAGTGCTCAAAAAAAATACCCCCCAAATCGTCTACAATGTTTCAACAATCATTCCCAAAGCATTCCTTGACAATCTCTGAACATTCCTCCGGTTTGGACACGCCCGACTTAATGCTGGCAGCCGCACGCGCAGGCCGCGGCCCACGCCTGCCGGGTTGCGCTGATCGCGCCAGCATCGCGCGGGTGCGCTCGGCGCCGGCCTCGAGCCGACGACGCCGGCAGCGCGGTGCCCGCAGGGAGCGCGCGGGGATGCTCGTGGGGCTCCTGGGGCGCGCTCGTCGTACTGCTGCAGGTGAGGGAGCGCTAGAGCAGGAACGAAGCCACTCTGCGGCACCCACATAGAGCCCGGGTGCAAGAGGAGGGCCAGGGGAACAATCACGGAATGACCTGCGGAAGAGCGAGACCCTTCCGAACACAAAGCGGTCCTTATTCCATCGTCTTGACTGTGCCGAAAAGAACTCCGAATAAGGAACGCAGGAACTTTCCTGGCCACGGCGAGCATCGGCCACGTGTGGCGGGCTCTGGAAATCCTGGACCCAAAACTGTTGTCATCTCTTGGACGGCAGCTTTTTTGACTCACGCCGGCTTCCGCCAGCCCTTCTCCTCCTCCTCCTCCTCCTCCTCCTCCTCCTCCTCCTCCTCCTCCCCCTCCTCCGTCAGAGGAGGGCGAGGTGCCCAGCCTTCCGCCAGCTTCTGCCAGCGGAAGCGGCCTCGTTTCCCTCCCGCCGCCCTTCCGCAGAGGAAGCGGCGGCAGCCCCCTCGACCCTCGCAGGCGGGGCCCCGTCTGGAACGCCTCCTATGGGGGTCCCCAGCCTGGACGCATCGGCTGCACGCGAGAGTGACCCAAGGCTTAGGTCGGGCGTGTCCTTCCACAGGCTGATTTGGGGTGAGAAACAAAAGATCAGAGGTTGGGGGTGAGGGGGTGAGATCGCAGTGGAAAGGAGATCCCCAAGCGGGAAATCGTTTCGTTGCGTTCGTGTCGTGCGTGCGGGCGAGGCGAAGCTGCGTGGGCGCGCGAGAGGAATGAACCCGCCGTTGCTAGGGCGAAGTCAAGACAAACGATTCTCCCCTGTCCGTCCGTCCGTCCAGCGGTGGCTCGCGGTGTCCCGCGGTGTCCCGTGGCATCCCGTGGTGTCCCGTTGAGTGAGATCGATAATGAGATCGATCATGAGATCAATGTGGTGTCCCGAGGTGTCCCGTGCTGTCCCAAAAAAATGAGATCGATAGTGAGATCGACAGGTGTCCCGTGGTGTCATATGGTGTCCCGTTGAGTGAGATCGATAGTGAGACCGATCGTGAGACCGATAGTCAGATCGAGAGGTGTCCCGCGGTGTCCCGTGGTGGCCCGTTGAGTGAGATCGATAATGAGATCGATAGTGAGATCGACAAGTGTCCCGTGGTGTCCCGTGGTGTCCGTTGGTCCCCCCCTTCTCCCCCCCCACAACCTTCTTATCACCCGAAGGGTGGTCGTACAAGTACTCAAAAATATTCAAATGTAGTCAAAACATACTAGAAACATCGCCCCCAGACGATTTGTTGACTGTTTGTGAATATTCCTCCTGTGGAGGGACATGCCCGACGTAACCCTAGGCAAGAGTGACCTGCGGTGCGCGGGCTAGGGGGTGCGCAGGGGGTGGTCCCCGAGCGCGGTCCCTATATGCTCCAGGCTCGCAGGGCACGGCAGGCGTGGCACTCTCTCAACACCATCAGGGGTGCGTTGGGGGTGGGGGCGCTACGCGTTGCAGGCTCGCAGAGCATGGCAGGCGTGGCATTTCCTCGACGCCACAGGGGGCGCGCAGAGCGGCAGCATCCGAGCGCGCCACCGGCTGCCGTCGCACCGCGCTCGACGATCGGAAGGACCACGAGGAGCCCGCCCTACGGGCCACTCCGGCGAGCAGTTCGTCCTACGAAGAGTCGATCGGCGCAAGAGGCGGCCCGAAGCCCAGAGCCCCTCCTCCTCCTGCTCCTGCTCCTCCTCCTCCTGCTCCTCCTCCTCCTTCTCCTCCTCCTCCTCCTCCTCCTCCTCCTCCTCCTCCTCCTCCTCCTCCTCCTCCTCCTCCTCCTCCTCCCCCTCCCCCTCCTCCCCCTCCTCCCCCTCCTCCTCCTCCTCCTCCCCCTCCTCGCACTCCTCCCCCTCCTCGCACTCCTCCCCCCGCGGTGGCCGCCCGTGGCCCTCCTGTTTCCCAAAGGGGGGGGGTCCTTCTTTCCGCGCTCCGGCCAGGCGTGCGGGAGGGGCACGCCTGCCCCAGGGGGCGCCTGGCGAGGGAGCTGGCGACGCCAGCAACTGGCACCCTGGAAGCCCTGGGCGAGGGCCAGATGTTGAAGACAGAACCCCTCCTGTTTCCCAAAGGGGGGGGGGGGTCCTTCTCTTTCCGCGCTCCGGCCAGGCGTGCGGGAGGGGCACCCCTGCCCCGGGGGGGCGCCCGGCGAGGGAGCTGGCGAAGCCAGCAGCGGGCACCCTGGAAGTCCTGGGCGAGGGCCGGATGCTGAAGAACGGCCGCCCTCTCTCTTTTTTTTTTCACTCTCTCTCTCTATATATATATTTATAGATACATACAAGACCGCATTGGCGCTTTGCGCCACGCACCTTGGTCCTTGAGGCTCTGCATGTGTGGTTCGTTCGCGCCATCCCCAGTGGCCTTGGGAATTTGGCCCCTTCCCTGCGGTGGTTTTCAGAAGTCTTCGAAAATTCGGGCGGTCCCTGGCCCTTCCCGGGCCTCTGGGGGCTCCCGACAGGCGCCAGGTGGAGGGCGAAGGATAGGAGGGAGGGAATCTCGGAGAGCGAGGAAAGGAAGCGGATGTGGGGTAGGACGAGTGGTGGAGCGGCAGAAAGAAGAGGAGGATGGCACCGTCGGGGGACGGCGAAGAATGTTGCAGCGGGTTGCAGCGGGTCGCACAAAGGCACGCGAACGCAAATAATTCTTAGGGAATGCATCTCATCCCGGGTTCGCAACAGATTTCCAGGATTTGTTGTTGCGAGCCCGGGATTCGGGTCAGTTTGGTGGAAAACGCCGTGTGGGCCTTGTTGGAGCCCTGGTGGACCGCCCGGCTTGGGGCTGCCTCGAGCCATCTTGGGGCCATCTTGGGCCGTGTTGTGGAGCTTGGGCCCTTTAGGGACCGTACGGGGGCTACGTAGCCCCTCCTGATGGCCTCCCATGGCTTTTTGGGGAGCCTCCCATGGCCTTCCTGGGCTTTTCTTGGGGGCCTTGTGAAAGCCAATTGGGCTTCTTTTTGGCTCATTTGGGGTTTCCTTGGGAAGTGTTGGGGCCGTCCAGGCCGTCCAGAGCCTCGCTTGGGGGTCTCTTGGGCCGTCTTGGGGCGATACTGGAGGCTTTCTGGGCTGTTTTGAACGCTTCTAGGACCCGAACAGCGAATTTGCTGAAAAGGTACGGATCCCGAAGGGAGAAGCGATGCTTGCGTTCTGGGAGCCCTGTTGAGGGCCTCCTGGGCCGTCTTGGGGGCCTCTGGAGGCCTTCTGGGTCCTTGT